ACAAAGCCGCAAATATTACAGAGAATATCCTCTCTTTATAAAACTTAATAGGAATGGATACTGTGCTAAGTGAACCTTTAAGAAATTTTATACTCCATACATATGCACTATGATTACCCTCACACCTCAAGAATGAAAAATAAAATAAATTAGAAAATGAAACTGTGTAAATACACTGATAACAAGTTGACATAAAAACCTGTGAAATATGGTCAAATCAACCTTAGGATGTCAAACAGCATACATATGCCCTATGAAGACCCTAATACATCTGAAAGGAAATCAAAAATGTAAAGTGAAATAAATAATACTGTGCAAAATATACTAACCACAGGTATACATGAAAAACTGTGGAAAAGGGTCAAAACAATAAAACAATAACTTATTGTCCATATAGACATACAGTGTATTAAAGTCCATATAAAGATGAAGGCTCAACAATCAGTGATAATGCTGTAAAAAGATGCTATAGGTGCAATGTGGGTAATCTTCCTTCAAATAGTCACCAGAGTGTGTACCACCACCAAATAATCGAATAGAGGCTTACCAGAAATGGAGACCCCTTAATTATAGGGGGTCCCAACCAGCATTGTGATATAGAGCACTAACAGGCTCTCCGTGTCATGCCCAGAATATGGATCTCCAAGCCTCCAATTCGAATATGGACTCGAAATGCAGTGTCAAGTGAAATCATGAAAGAAAAAACATGCCTCTGATAGTGCAGTACGTATCAAAAGTTCTTTATGGGCGAAAATGAAATCCTACTTACAGGCTGTAGAACAGTTAAAAGCATTCAAAGAAATCATTTCCAAGATGGCTGACAGTGCGATGACATCAGAGGGAGGGAGGCAGACTCAACCTGTATTAAACCCAAGGAAGAGGAAGTGATTCTTCACTCTCTGTATGCAGCACGGCTCTAGGGATCTAGGAGGATGGATGGTTGGACAGATGGAGGGATGGACGGATGGGTGGTGACCACAAAAAGAAACCTTACATTGGTGTCCTTTTATGAAACAGAGATCAGCGGCGTTCCTGAGGATCGTTGCTGATCTCCGATCATTTGTGGTTTAGGAAACAGAGATGATCAGTGGAGAACATGTTCTCTGCTGATCATCTCAGCACACAGATGGCCAGTATATGAAGGAGTGATGTCAGCCCTTCACTGGCGATCTGTGTTCTCTCTCCAGATTCTCCAGCTCAGAGCTGGAGAATCGGAGGAACCGCAAACTTACAGCGATAATTTACTTCTTTACTGCTTAGTAAAGGGTGTTTGACTGATCTCTTATTGTATAGTAAAAGCAGCCGTTTTCCAGCGTTTGTAGATCGTTCTCCCTTCATTCAGAGAACTGATCTACACCAATTCATAAAAAGACATTCACAGGAGAACTGTCTTCTCCAAGAATGCTGGAGAACTGAGCAGCGGTCATTTACCACTGCTTGATAAAAGGACACCATAGTGTGATATTGGTTAAAAAAAAAAAAAATTATTAACACACCTATGTACTCACAATAATACAATGTTGCAGTGCAAATGAAGATGAAATAATGAAAATGAGATAAACAACCTTAGCTAAATCCTGCAGCTAGCTAGCTGCTCACTGGACTCACACTGCCTAGAGAGAATCTTTTCATTGTGATACTTTCTCACTATTTGGACTGATCATGTACTGGACAATGTATCTTGTGTATCACAAAAAATCAACCAACAATGCCTAGAAAACAATGTACTGTAATGGTCGCATCCAGGGGCGGACTGACAACTCATGGGGCCCCCGGGCAATAGGGGATCATGGGGCCCCTGTGTCCTTGCCCAAACTCAAAAAAGCCTATGAAAAAGGTACCAGGGGCATCTCATGGGGCCCCCTGCTGACCCCGGGCCCTCGGGCAGTGCCTGAGTTTCCAAATGGTCAGTCCGCCCCTGAGTCAGTGGGACATGCAGATAGGTTAGTTCAGGTGGCAGGCAGTGACATGGTCAATAAATAGACAAAGGATCAGTCCAAGCAGCAAGCAGAAACGTGGTCAATAAACAGGCCAGATCAGTACAAGCAGGTGCATATTTAACATGAGGCAAACAAGGCATTTGCCTAGGGTGGCAGACACACGTGACTGAAGATGGGGAGCAGGTGAGGCACAGGAAGAGCAGTACATGCTGCTGGAGAGTGTCTGACTTTTGTTCCCGGGTCATTGTCAGAGATCAGTGCAGAAAGATGTCAGGCTTTCCTGAGCATGGTTCCCGGGGTGGCTGGTCGGTGAGTACTTGAATATATCTCTCTCTCTATCCCCTGTCACTGGGACATGAAGACGCATACGGGACACATACCGCACTGAAAATATTTTAGCCCTTCCCCACTCTAATAAACATTAGTTTTTGTCTGTGTCCCCATTGGGGAAATTTCACTTCATGACTTGTAAGGCTGGATATGGGCTATAACCTCTTCCTGTCCAGCCCATGTACATAAACGGCTGGATGGGAGCAGTGCAGGAGTGGGTTGCCGTTCATAAATGGCGCCCGCATTTACAGCCCGTGCGCTCCGGACACAGCAGAACACTGATCGCTGTACGGGACCTCGGTGATTGGCCAATCAGTGATCAGATGAATAGTAGTAAACAAGATGTCACTTCCTGACATCATTGCTTACTACTTGTGAAATCTGTGAATGATCACAGAGGTCACATGGCACCAGGCTATTCACAACAGCCTTGTACCATGTGACAAGCTGTGACCAATCACAGCTCACACAGTATTTCTCAATGGCTGCAAGAATGCAGTCAGAGAGAAGGAGAAATGATTGCTTTACAGCCTTTATGGGTGTAAAAGCAACCAGTGTACAAAAAAAAAAATCTTCATCACCCCCCACAAGTAGTACAGTGTCACTATGGGTGAAGTATGTAAAAATAAATAAAATATAAAAAAAAATAAAAATGTAAAAAAAGTTTTTGAAAAATTATAATTTTTGGTTATAAACTAATTTGGCTTATTTTTTTTTACTAAAAAGATAACTGAATACATTTTGGCCAAGATTTATGAAGAAAGATTATTTATTTGCAAAATTGTTTAAGAAAACACTTTTTTTCAAAATGTTTGGACTTTTTCATTTATATAGCAAAAAAAAATAAAAATGCCAGTGGTGAATAAATACCACCAAAATAAAGTTTTATCTATCTAAAAAAAATGTTAAAAATCATATGGGTACAGTGTTGCATGACCACACAATTGTCATTCAAAGTGTGATAGTGCTGAAAGCTGAAAATTGACCTGGACAGGAAGGGGGTGAAAGTGTCCGGACTTGAAGTGGTTAAAGTAGATCTAAACTCTAACTGCAAGAGATTTAGTATACTGAAGTTATGTATCAAACACTTTGTATTCATAAACTGTTGCCACTTTTTTCTTTTCCTACTTTTGTACAGCTCACTGCTGCTGATCTCTAAAATGTTTGCAACCAGCTAAATGTGTTCTATTGGCAACTGCATGCATTTGCTGAGGGCAAGCTTCCTGATGGTGACAATGGTAGAAGACATCTGTGTAGTGAATATGATCACAGCCACTTATAGTGTCCAGCAGAGACACATATGACAGGGTAGCAACATAAAAGGGCAATTGGGAGACTGAAAAGGAAGTGCCTGAACATGGACATTAAGGGCAGGATTGCCAGGTATTATTTCAATGAAAGCTGTAAATTTTAAAAAGATTGAAAGACTGTTGAAATAAATGTGATTGGGTTTACATATATTCTAAAGAGACTCTGCTAGGATGGAAAAGAAGGGGTGGGGGCAATTGCTTCAGGTATAAAGTGCAGGGACCTAGTTACTTATACATACCAAGCCATTCTGGAGGGTAAAGCCTTGGCACTTTCTGATATCACTGAGGTTTGGTTGGTTTGTCATCTAGTCTGGGAGGCAAAGTCAGTATAGAGTGCTTTCATAACAAATTGTTAAGTTCAAGTTTAAAAATGAACAGTAAGGGCTCATTTGAAAATGGGGCAGTAAAAGCAGATGGTTGTGTCATGGTTAATCTGCCCACTGACTGCCCACCTGAACAAGGACATGCAGCCGCTCAGGTCTGTACATATGTCGTGGCCACAATGCTTTGCTTCACAGCAATACTGGGCACTTTTACCCCCTTCCTGCCCAGGCCAGTTTTCAGCTTTCAGCGTTGTTGCACTTTGAATGACAATTGTGCAGTCATGCAACACTGTACCCATATAAAATGTTTATCACGCAAATAGAGATTTCTTTTGGTGTTATTTATTTACCACTGTGTTTTTAATTTTTTGCGCTATAAAGGAAAAAATACTGAACATTCTGGGAAAAAAACTAGTTTTTCTTAGTTTCTGCTATATACCATATTTTTCGCTCCTTAAGACGCACTTTTTTCCCCCAAAAAAAAGGGGGGAAAGTGTCAGTGCGAATATGGAGCGAATATGGAGCCGCCGGTCCAGTATTTCCACCACCACCATGTCAGAATACCGGGCTGGCCGCTCAGCTCTGCAGCGGGACCTTACCTGTTCCTCTATCCAGCGGCGCGCTGTCTTCCCGGCTTCTGTAGTGTGGGTACTCGGCTTGACAGCCGGGTGCCAAGTGCGCATGCGCAAGAAGCGGTGCTCTTTGTGATTGGTAAGGCGGCACCTGGGACACATGACAGGTCCCAGAAGCCGCCAGACCAATCACAAAGCGCAGCGCTTCTCGCTCATGCGCACTGGGCACCCGGCTGTCAAGCCGAGCGCCCACACTACAGAAGCCGGGAAGACAGCGCGCCGCTGGATAGAGGAACAGGTAAGGTCCCACTGCAGAGCGGACACTAACCAAAGAACAACTCCGAGGAAGTAAGAGCGGGTACCTGTCAAATTCAGGTACCCGCTCCCCCCCCTCCCCAAAGGTCAGCAGTTATCTTCTGTACTGTCCGCAGTCTCTGGTCATCCCTGTACTGACCGCAGTCTCTGGTCATCTCCTGTACTATGTCCGCAGTCTCTGGTCATCTTCTGTAATATGTCCGCAGTCTCTGGTCATCTCCTGTACTATGTCCGCAGTCTCTGGTCATCTCCTGTACTATGTCCGCAGTCTCTGGTCATCTCCTGTACTATGTCCGCAGTCTCTGGTCATCTCCTGTACCGTGTCCGCAGTCTCTGGTCATCTGCTGTACTATGTCCGCAGTCTCTGGTCATCTCCTGTATTATGTCTGCAGTCCATTGGTTAGAATATTTTTTTTCCCGTTTTCTGCCTCTAAAACCTAGGTGCGTCTTATGGTCAGGTGCGTCTTATGGAGCGAAAAATACGGTAATTTTGCAAATAAGTAATGTTTTTTCTTCACTGATGTGTGCTGATAAAGCTGCACTGATGAGGCTGCACTGATGGGCACTGGTGAGGCTGCACTGATGGGCACTGGTGAGGCTGCACTGATGGGCACTGATGAGGCTGCACTGATGGGCACTGGTGAGGCTGCACTGATGGGCACTGGTGAGGCTGCACTGATGGGCACTGATGAGGCTGTACTGATTGTCACTGATGAGGCTGCACTGATGGGCACTAATGAGGCTGCAATGATGGGTAAAGATGAGGCGGTACTGATAGGCACTGATACGCTGCACTGATGAGGTGGCACTGATAGAACATGACTGCGCACCAGTGCACAAAGCAAGGTCCATAAAGACATGGATGAGTGAGTTTGGGGTGGAGGAACTTGACTGGCCTACACAGAGTTCTGACTTCAACCCGATAGAACAGCTTTGGGATGAATTAGAGTGGAGACTGTGAGCCAGGCCTTCTCGTCTGACATCAGTGCCTGACCTCACAAATGCGCTTCTGGAAGAATGGTCAAACATTCCCATAGAAACCAAAAATTCCAAGCTCTAAAATCCCAAATCTGTTAAAAGCCAAACAATCCTCAGCTGCTGATGCCACACTATAAGCAGTGAGAATTGAAGTCCAGAAGAACAGCACTCAAGGACATAGTCTTGTAGTTGTAATGACAGCAGTGTGCTCCAACAAAAAATGTAGATTTATTCCAATAAAAGAACAGTATAGTCATCTAATAAAAGCAGTATTATACGCCCAAAATTGTGGCCGTGAAGGAATATCTGCTCATCTAGGCCGCACAAGCCCCCGAACCAGAGTGGATGGTAAGGGCAAAGCTGATTCCTTGATGGATGGAAACAAGCTGGCCGGAATGGGGACCATGGCGCTCTGGAACTGGCATCAAAGGTCCCGGGAGGCCACCAAGGATCAGGCTGAACTGCAATCAAACTAGTTGCAACGACAATGCTTTTTGCACGCATGCACTTTATCAAGTCATAGATAACTGTGACAACTAGCTGTCTTACATAAGGGGGGCCCATCTAATGGGCAGGCAAAAACAGGGGGCGGAGCATGGACATGATATTCTCTAACTTCCATTTTTTTTTAATACAAACTCTGATTGTAGCAGAATCTACAGTATTAGAAAGGCAGTGGTGGAATATCATGTCCATGCTCCGCCCCCTGTTTTTACCTGCCAATTAGATCAGCCCCCCCTTATATAAGACAGCCTGATGGGGGGGGGGGTGACTCTAGGGGTCCTGGTGTTAGTGGGGCAGCTGGGGATCCTGATGTAAGCTGGGTGGTTTTGGGGACCCTGAGGTAAGGCTTAGGAATCCCAGGAACCCTGATGTAAGGGGGAGACTCTGCGGACTCTGACATAAGGGGGATGACTCTGATTGAGGAGGAACTCTGATGGGGATTATTGATGTAAGGGGGATCTGATGTGAACAGGTGGGCTTGTCCTGGTGCTGCACTTTATATGTTGTTTTGCATGTTACCTGTACACTCTACACCCATACACTCCATACATTACAGTATATTGTACATTACATGGTCAGACAGGCAAAGTGATCACTTTTACTGTGCAGAAAAGTATATGTAATGGAAATGTTTACAATTTCTAAAATGATCCATCATTCTGAGGTTTATGTCTGTGAGACTGTCGCTTGTGACATAGTAAGTAGTATTCTGCGAGTAATGTGGTGTATGTGTGCAAAGTATACAGTGACTAGGCACAGTTTCTGTTTTATCAGTCCCCTTTAACCACTTGTCTGCCACAGATAGCCGAATGATGGCTTCATGGCGGACGGCCAGTTCTGGGAGGGCGTCATATGACGTCCTCCCAGAATGCACCCTCTCACGCACCTGGCGATCTCCGTGATCGCTGTGTCCTACAGACACAGCTGATCATATGATGTGGTAAAAGGCCAATCACAGCGGCCTTTTACCACGTGATCAGCCGTGTCCAATGACACAGCAGATCACCGGTAAATGCAGTTGCCGGTTATCGGCTGCACTTTCCTCACGCTGTCACAGCATTAGGAAAGTACTGCCGATAACTGGCAATTGTCAGAGGACGGATTGGCACCGATCATCAGGGCACTGATGACCAGGGCACTGATGATCAGTGCCCAGCAGTGCCACCCACCAATGCTGCCCATCAGTGCCACCCACAAGTGCCCATCAGTGCCACCCACTTGTGCCCATCAGTGCCACCCACCTGTGCCCATCAGTGCCCAGCAGTGCCACCCACCAGTGCCACCCATCAGTGCCCAGCAGTTCTGCCTGTCAGTGCCCATCATTGTTGCATATCAGTGCCAGCTCATCAGTTCCGCCTATCAGTGCCCATCAGTGTCGCTTATCAGTGCTCATCATTGTTGCATATAAGTGCCAGCTCATCAGTGCCGCCTATCAGTGCCCATCAGTGCTGCCTATCAGTGCCCATCAGTGCTGCTTATCAGTTCCCATCAGTGCTGCCTATGAGTGCAGCCTCATCAGAGCACATCAGTGAAGGAGAAAAATTACCTGTTTGCAAAATTTTATAATAAAAAGAAAAACTTTTTTTTTTAAAACTTTTTGCTCTTTTTTTGTTTATAGCGCAAAAAAAAAAAACACCCAGCGGTGAGTACATACCACCAAAAGAAAGATCTATTTGTACGTAAAAAAGATAAAAATTGGTACAGTGTTGCATGGCCGCGCAATTGAGCTCTACGTCACTTACTACTGATCCTTGTCCTCCACCCTGCTGACCTTGTACACTGCCCTGCTGACCCCTGTCCTCCACCCTGCTGACCTTGTACATTGCCCTGCTGACCCCTGTCCTCCACCCTGCTGACCTTGTACACTGCCCTGCTGACCCCTGTCCTCCACCCTGCTGACCTTGTACACTCCCTGCTGACCCTTGTCCTCCACCCTGCTGACTCCTGTACACTGCCCTACAAACTCCTCACCTCCTCCTCTGCCCTGCTGACCCTCTGTACACTGCTCTGCTGGCCTTCCATCCTCTGCTCCCCTGACAGTTTTCACTGCACCCCCACATTAGACAGGCTAGATTCGGCCCTGATCTCCAGCCATAAATGTATCATGTCCACTCTCTCTGACCCTCATTTCCTTTATTAGATCTGCAGTCTCTTATAGTCCTCCTAAACATTGCATATGTTGAACACTATGTGTGGCCCTTTAGTAATGTCAGGGGCCACAGCTTAGGCTCTCTATAGCTCATAAGTTCACAACCACTAGGGCATACCGGGGGAAATTTACTAAAACTGGCGCACTCAGAATCTGGTGCAGCTGTGCATGGTAGCCAATCAGCTTCTAACGTCAGCTTGTTCAGTTAAACTTTGGCAATAAAACCTGGAAGTTGATTGGTTTCTATGCAGAGCACCACCAGATTCTGCACTCTCCAGTTTTAGCAAATAACCCCCACCATGTCCATGACAATAATCCCTTTTCCTTATTAATAGTTCTGATTATTATAGTTTATTGATAGCACTGATTACCATTTGCTGAAATGATGCCTTTTCTGTAGCCCAATGCATTTTCAATAGTACTATAAAATTTTTTAGCAATTCTGCGATTACAAGTCTACATATTAAGTGAAGGAACAATTTCCAATAAGCATCTGAAAAAAACATTTCCTCCCTAACAGTGTAGGAAATTGTAATAGATTGTCAGCCTATCCACTATGCAAGTTAATGGGGTAAAAAGAGTCTAAATCATTTTTCTCAAAAGAAACTGATGTTTTGTTATCTGTCTCAAAGATGCAATGAAATGTGAAGGTCTCTGCCAAACAAGATAATGTTGCAGCAAAGATTAGACCAGTGTGCTCAATTAATAGTGAAATATTGTTATTTCTTTACAATTGCTATAGATTGGTAGCCAAGAAATCACGCTACATGCTTCTAATATGCCAACCTCTATTACTGGCTGCTGCAGGTGGCAGCAAATTGTTACTAGGGAGAGAGGAGATGCAAAGGATTATGGAGAGGCATGCCAACATCACATTCAGTGCACACGTATGCAGTTTGAGGTGATATAAATCACTCATTATTTGCAAGCATCTGTTTTTTTTTAGAAATGAGGTTTGTGTAAAAACCTTAACATACAAAAATAAATTCACTAATTCCTACCTGGGAGTAGCCCAGCAGCAGCAGCATACAAGTGGCTGACTGCTAAATGCAAAGAGTGATTAGGAGAACATTGTAAATTATCGCAAGTGTCCAGCAAAAACAGATACTGAGACTTGTTTGATGCCAGACCAACTTTCCCGCCACTTTATAGCAGAACTACTGCTACAGGGCAGCAGGGCTGCGCAAAATCACACACACAAATATATGTGTGTGTGTGCGATTTGCATTTGTCAGTAGGGGACGCACACAAATGCACTTCCCTACCCGCGCTGCCATCGGTGGCTACGGATGTCAATCACCGGGTCCATTTCCCCGCCAGCACCCGGCGTTCGTCGAGTAACACTGACAGGGGAGAGACCGGTGTGTAAACAACACAGATCTCTCTTCTGCCAACAATAAAATGCTGCTGCGTATTTCTCTGCACAACAGAGAATACACAGGAGCATGTTTCCCTAGTAAAACACGCACAGCACATGATGTAAAACAGCACAGCACACAGTTAACCCTTGATTGCCCCAGATTTTAACCCCTTCCTGCCCAGTGTCTTTAGTACAGTGTGCTTTTTATTAGCACTGATCACTGTATACGTGTCATGGGGATGTCAGTGGCAGTTAGACAGTTGCCACCCAGTGTCAGAATGCCCGCCGCATTCCCACAGTCCTGCTATAAGTTGCTAGTATATTAAAAAAAAAAAAATACAGTAAATATATATACCACCATTTGTAGACGCTATAACGTTCATGTAAACCAATTAATTTACATGTATTGGGATTTTTGTTTAAACAAAGACGTAGCAGAATTCATTTTGGGCGTGCCTAAATTTATGACAAAATTAAATTTTTTTATTTTTTTTACTGGATAGGTTTTATAGCAAAAAGTCAAAAATATTGTTTTTTTTTTTCAAAATTGTCAGTCTTTTTTAGTTTATAGCGCAAAAAATAAAAAATGCACAGGTGATCAAATACCACCAAAAGAAAGCTCTACTGTATTTGTGGGAAAAAAAGGACATACATTTAATTTGTGTACAGTATTGCATGACTGCACAATTGTCAGTTAAAGTAACGCAGCGCCATATTGCAAAAAATAGCCTGCTCAGGAAGGGGGGTAAATCCTCTGGAGGGCAAGTGGTTAAAACCTGAAGTTGAATCAGCAACTTCAGGTTGTAACTGTTTGTTCCAGGATTCAGGTAAAATTCTCATAGTTTTAGGGCTCATGTACACGGGGTGTTTGGAAAACGATCGAAACTGACTACTGTAAAACGTAGGTTAAAAAATGTCAGTTTAGGCGTGTTTGCATACCGCGTTTATAAAAGATAACCTCAGGAGACCTTCCCAAATGCCCAGAATGCACTGAAAAATAGTAAATAATTAATTATTTCATACATTTTGAGAGAAATAGAGAGAGCAGAAGCAGAGAGAGCAGTATTTGTTGAGATGACTGTCTATTCTGGTTGTATTCACTATGGATCCCATCATGAGCATAATGCAGCACGTTCTACCATTTTTTTCTTCATGCGAAACTTGGAACTGATTGCGCTGGTGTACCAGGGTCCATTTGAATACATGGAAAACACTTTGCATGCATTTCTGGTGATTAAAAAAGGCTCTGGACATGGAACAATTAAAAAACGCTTCTAAACGCAAACGTTTATAAATGCGGTTAACCACATTTACAAGCGTTTACACGCATTTACAAGCGTTTGGCGTTTGAAACGCCAGTAAAATCTACTCCTGAACGCAAGTTTGGTGCGTTCAAAAAAACGACTGTAAACTCAACTGCCTGTACACGACTGTAATGACTATGTGTACATAGACTCATAGGAAAACATTTAGGGAGAGTTCAAGGGCTGCTGAAGAAAACACTGAACAGCTCCTGAATGTCAGTTTAGGAGCTGCAATGTACATGAGCCCTTTAATGTTAGCAGTTCAGCAATTCCAACAGCAACAGGTAATGTTAATAGATCGTATGTTGAACCCCCCTCCCATGGCAGTAGCCAAAACAATAATTTTCCAGGGCACCTCTAGCACCATAAACATGAATGGGTAGCTTAGATGTGGCTCAGACTTGATTTTTCAGCTGGTTTCATAGTTTTCATAAATTCTTTGGCTAGTAAAGACACTCAGTTATGTTTCAATAAATAATAGGAACATAATAGTAGGTTTTTAAAATCTTACTACTTAAAATAATAAGTGGACCAGCATTTCAGACTACACCCTGTACTTGGAAATTAATGTTGAAAGGATCAATAAAGTGATTGTAAAGCTTAAATAGTTTTTAAATGCTAGATTTTTAGAATTAAAATAACAAACATGTCATACTTACCTGTTCTGTGCAATGGTTTTGCACAGAGCAGCCCCGATCTTCCTTTTCTTAGGTCCCCTGCTGGCGCTACTGGCTTTCTCCCCCCCCCCCAGCGAGTGCCTCCATAGCGTGCCACTTGCTATGGGTGCACTCGTGCATGCTTGCTCCTGACGAGTCCTGCTCTGTGTGTCCTTAAGGCACACAGAACGTGGCTTGGACCTGCCCCCCACTCTCTCTTCAATGGCTGTGATTGACAACAGTAGGAGCCAAAGGCTCTTGCTGCTGTATCTGAGTCAATAAGGAAGGAGAGAGCCAAGGGATCGCTGAATTGAGAACTTGTGCTTTGGTGACAGCCAATTGCAGAGCCCTTCTTACAAACTGTATCTGTATATGTGTATTTCATCATTTCTGGTGTTAAGATTTTGGCATTATATCTCAGATACAATTGCAACCTCAAGAATCAGGTAGTTAAGTCAAGCTGTTATCAGAGAGATTGTTAGCATATTTGAGCCTTGTATTCTGCTGCAAAAGAATTGGGGGGGTTCTGATTAAGCAAACTTTGTTGTTTGCCAGTATTCTGAAACAGTGGTGTTGGTACTTTCTGAATGAAAAATACAGTCATCCTAAGTGTTTCGGCCTAGATCTTTCGTTGTACTAAACTGGGAGACTGGTCAGGGTTGAGGGAAAGCTGAATAGAGCAAAGTACAGAGATATCCTCAATAAAAACCTATTCCACGGTGTTCAGAAGCTCATACTGGGCCAAAGAGTCACCTTCCAACATGACAACGATCCTGAGCACATAGCCAAGACTACACAGGAGTGGCTTAGGGACAACTCTGTGAATGGCCTAGAGTGGTCCAGCCAGAGCTCTGACTTGAATCCTATTGAAGTTCTCTGGAGAGACCTGGAAATTGCTGTCCACTGACAGTCCCCATCCAACCTGTCTGAACTTGAAAGGATTTGCAAGGAAGAATGGCAGAAAATTCCCCAATCCAGGTGTGCAAAGCTTGGTGCTTCATACACAAAAATACTCAAGGCTGTAATAGCTGTCAAAGGTGCTTCAACAAGTATTGAGTAAAGGGTATGAATACTTCAGTACATGTGATATTGCATGTTTTTCTTTTTAATAAATTTATAGACATTTGTAATATCTGTTTTCTCTTTGTCATTAAGGGATACTGAGTGTAGATTAAGGAGCCTGAGGGCTGAACAGCAAATATCAAAGTGCCATATGTGGCCCTCGAGCTGCAGTTTGGGATGTAAACAGACAATAGTTAAATCTGCAGTATGGATTGAGTAAAGCGCATTACTATAATGAAATCTGCCAGAATCCTGATATATATATATATATATATATATATATATATATATATATTGGGTTTAAAACAATGCATATAGTAGCTTCCTCTTTGATAACGGTAGTATAAAAAATATATCCATATTTCACTATACACAAGGTCATCATTAGAGGTTACTGTTCGATAAAGTGAAAGAAGAGATACATTTTTCAGTATAGGGACCTTATGGAAAGATTGCTGCCCGACCTGTGGATTTAATAAATGCACATTTCTTTGAAGCCATTTGATTATATCAGAATGCTTGTATTATTGATAGTGGTTGGTGTAGATATTTTACTGTTCTACCTTGGGCTACATGTATTTGAAGAGACAGATCCAATGATAAATTGCTGTCTGCAGTATTTGAAACATGTTGATTTGATACTGTATATAAAAGTATAAAGTATAACACAGTCAAAGATGATTTAATGGAAATCAAAGCTGTCAATTAATAATCTTTAAAAAGCAAGAGTGAGATCATGATCATCTCAACAGAATGGAATATGCATATTGCTTTTTTTTCAAGTTTGCAAACTTATGAACTTTCCTACGAATGTATGAATTCAATGAAACTAAAGCTGAAGTTTGTGTGGCTATTTTGCATTATTACTTATATACTCACTTACTATATGTACTTATAGAGCACATATAGTAAGTGTCAATTTAAACAGCTCTTTTACATATATTATACATTCACATCAGTCCCTGCTCTCTAGGAGC